CCAACCCCATCACAAATTCTCATATGAGCAAATCCAGTTTCCTGCAATGCAAGGAAACCATGTCAAATTCTCAGTCACATACTACTAAGTACAACGAAGATTATGATTTATGAACACAACAAATAGATAAGCTTACCTTCATGAATTCCAATTTCAGGTACTCAGGCATATCATAATTTTTTATGATGCGGAAAATTGTTGTGATGATATCTGTGGGGGAGTAACCTAAATCATATAGCTGTTTGAGGCCCAAACAAGCCTCATCAAAATTCCCTTCGAGAACATTACGCACCATATTCTTCACATGCAATGGATGCGGCTGGTCGCAAACCTGAAAATAATCACAATCTTTTAACGAAATCCATGGTGAATTCTGGCAATTATAGATTTAAAAGCATAGTCAATTCTAACCTTGAAAACATTTTGTTGGTTAACAAATTGGAACCCACTATATGTTGCTTGCAAGTTATTCAATGCCTGCCTCATATCACCATCAGCAGTGAAAATGATGGCTTCAAGGCCTTCAGGAACATAGGGAACCTTCAACAATAACACAGTTCATTTTATCATGCATTTCCTCAACAGTAATATAGAGTGAAGACAAATAGATGGCAACCAAGAAAAGTTTTAAATAGAGTGCTTTTCCTAATAAATTCACATTTCCAATGACAAGAACCCTTACAAGAAATTTAAAAAATAATGGTGATAGGAGTATCCTCAGGCTACAATGACACCAGCCTTCTACATTGTGCTACCCTTTTAAACACTATAATGAGGAACCAAAGAATGCATAGACAACATGACATAATTGATAATTCCCCAAATCGCCCACAGAACCTACATAAACAACTTAGTAACCTCCCAACACAATCAAATACCAGAAACATAATCAAGCAAGCCCTTAATTCACAATTTCACGTGTTTTAGAAGACAATAATTTGAGGCTTGGAAGGATACAAATGGCATGTATAAAATGCTATAGAACATCTAGAGGCCATGCACTTAATAAAAAATGATATTAAAAAACATGGAATAGATCAAACTCCAATAAAAAGCATTTCTAATGTCCAGCATTGTAACATTTGAAAAAAGAAAGTAAACAAGTAAATAAATAATGCAAACCAACAACAGAAGGCAGTGTGGCATTAGATAATAAATTGGCACATGAGAACTAATATGGCAGCTGTTAAGCTATATTAACATTTGAATCAACAAGACAATAATAGATACTATTTTCAAATTAAGAGACCTCCTTGTAGTTATCATTTATCAAAGACTCAATTATAAAGGAGAAAGAGAAAGAACAAAAGAGTACAATTGATAAATAAGGCATGCAATTACAACTGCAAAAACAGATAAGCAAAACAATGAAGATAGATGCCAATTCCACATCTACACTATTCTTAAATGAACGATGAAAGCACCAAAATTCCACAAATTTCAACTTGAGATGAAAAAACAAATGCATAAAACTCTTAAGGCAACTACCTTCTCAGCTCGAACCACAACCATGAGGCGACCGAGTATCTCCTCATCAGACAAGCGTGAAAATCGCACGATGGCACATCTACTCTGAATGGGCTCAATAACCTTAGAGGAAGTGTTGCAAGCGAGGGCGAAGCGAGTAGTATTCGAGTATATCTCCATTGTCCTCCTCAAAGCTTGCTGAGCCCCCGAAGTCATACTGCATTAAAAATAAAACAATTAAGAATCAGTAATAACAATCATAGTTCCTTCTAACTGCTTTTCGTCCTAATCGCAAGCAAAGCAAAATCAGATACCTATCGGCTTCGTCGAGAATAACAATCTTGTGGCGGCCAGGAGGGAGAGTAACTTTCTTCTGAGCAAACATCTTGATCTTGTTCCGGACGACGTCAATTCCACGGTCGTCGGAAGCGTTGAGCTCGAGAACTGCTTCCTTGGAATTGGAACCGAGAAGCTCATGAGCGAGTGCTAGTATGCTAGTGGTTTTACCAGTTCCAGGAGGACCCTAACAAAGAAATGAAGACAAACAATTTGAATAATATAAATAAGAAAATCACAATTCACGATTCACAATTCTTAACCTAAATAATAAAAATTAAGAAGAACGGAATAGAAAAGAGAAAGAGAGGTTTGATGGATGCATACAGAGAGGATGAGGTTGGGCATGTTGCCGTCACGGGCGATGACTTGAAGGCGTGAGACGGCGTCGGGGTTGCCGACGATGTCGGAGACCTTGGAGGGTCGGTACTTCTCAACCCACGGAACGTCGTAGCTGCTGTTGTTCCACGATGACGATGCCATTCTTCTTCTTCTTTTTCTATGCTTCGCTGAGGGAAACAAAGAGAGTGAGGGTTTGTTGAAGTCTAAAAAACCCTATGTGTGTGCCGGTGCCCTCAAACCCCTCTCTGTATTGGAGGGAATTTCTTTCTCCCACCTATCGTTTTCGTTTTGGAGGTAACAGGGAAAATCAACCTATTTGGGCCTAACATTTCAAAATAAAACTGCTACAAAAATTAGTAAAATACAATAAAACTAAAATAAAAAATATTCAAAATCTAAAAAAATTTTAATTTTTAATTTTTTAATATATTAAAAAGTAATATATATATATATATATATATATATATAATATAATTTCCATACACCGTCAGTGTAAAAAAATTTTACACATTACTCTTTAAATATTAAAAAAAATGGACAAAGACTTTTAAACATTACTTAATTCTAAGATAATTATGAAATTAGTTTCTCTTTTTTCACGAGTTAATTAAAATAATTGTTTAGTTTTTGAATGGATAAAATTAGCAACTATTATTATTATTAGATATTCATTAAAATCACATATCAAAATCCATTAGTATAAAATTAGCTATTAAATCAACTATTAATATAAAATATTTGTTAAAATATAAAATACACATTAAAAATTATTAATACATATATTACACATAAATACTTAGCGATTGATTTAGTAACTAAATTTCAATGTCTAAATAATATTTATAAAAATAAATATGTTTAGAATATTCAATATTATTATTTAAAATAATAGGAAGAATAGATAAAAATATATATAATCTTTTACACATAGAACAAAAGTCGAATTGGTTAAGGAGGGCAATGACCCCCAAACATCAAAATACATTTATAAATCATAGCTATATTTAATTTTAGCCCTCCTAAATGTTTTTTTTAAGATAAAATATTATTTTAATTTAATATTTGATCTAAATTTTAAATTAATCTTTAATGCTTCAATTATTCTATTAATGTGTTAGAATATATCAGTATCAATTAGTATCATGAGTTTATTAGTTTGATATTACTCATAATTATAGGACATTAGGTTATTATTATTATCATTCTCTCTTTACCTATAAATAGATTAGTATATTGTACTGTGAGATACACAATTCTTATATAATTTCAATACACAAACCTTTTTTTTATTGTGTACTCTTTCTCCCTTTCTAACATGGTATCAAGAGCTTAGATTCTTTCCAATTTTTTTTCTCGATGGGGATTCTACATTGGTATCCTCCTTGAATCCTTTTGAGTATTTTGTTTTTTTTGTCCGAAAGACAATTCTTTTTACCCTTCCTATTTCCGTTCAATTTCCCTAGTTTATCCATTATTTTTCCGAATTCCACTCCAATCTTATTGTTTTTTATTTTGTGGTCCTTTTGCACCTGTTTCTGCTATTTTTTTCTATCAGTCTTCGGCAGTTTCACCTATTTTTTCGTGGGAGTTCCGTCTCCACCTCGACAGTTTCGCTTGTGGGAGTTCCATTTCCACCTCGGCAGTTTCGTCAGTCTTTCTGTGGAAGTTCTGTCTCCACCTCGGCAGTTTCTCCAGTCTCTCTGTGGGAATTCCGTCTCCACCACAGCAGTTTTCGCCAGTCTTTTTGTGGGAGTTCCGTCTCCACCTCGTCATGGCAATTTCGTCTGCACTTCCTTGGCAGTTTCGCCAATTTTTTTTGTGGCAGTTCCGTCTGCACTCCTTCGGCAATTTCGCCAATCTCTGTGCGCGTATGACAATTCCGTCTGCACCCCGTTATGGCAATTCTATCTGGCAGTTCCATCTGCACTCCAGTTTCAATTTCTCTATAGTAGTTTTGTCTGCATTTTTTTAGTCAAACTTTCTTTTAAATAAGTTTCAAACTCAAGTTGACACTTGAGTTTGACGGGGATATTAGAATATATC